CGTGTGGTATACTGTGTGTGTGTGTGTGATGTCACGTGTGGTATATTGTGTGTGGGTTTGTGCCGTGTATGCTGTAGTGTGTGTGTGGCGTGTGGTATATTGTGTGTGTGGTATGTATGGTGTTTGTGCTGTGCATGTTGGAGTATGTGTGTGTGTGGCAGTGCATGTGGCAGATTGTGTCTGTGTGTGGTGCTGTGTGTCGTGAGTGTACAGCGTCCCACGTGGGACTCCCAGAGACGTGGCGTTCCAGAGGGCAGCCCTGGTCTCACTCAAGCTGGTGCGCCCCCCCAGGCCCTCGGCCCTCTCCCCACAGAACCTGGGGCCCAAGCAAAGCAGGACACGGTGGGATACAAGCTGCTGGTTCACAAACCCAGTGAATGAATCTGGGAAAAAGGCGGAGGCGACTGGAAGTTGGTCAGACAAACTGGTTTTCGCGGGGAGCACATGAGAGCCAGCTGTTGGTGCGTGAGTGTGATCCAGAAGGATGAGCCGTGAGGGCTGGCTCGTCCAGCCACAGAAGGGACCTGTTTCCTGACACAGGCCACAGCCTCGTAGCCAAAGCCCCTAAACCCATGCCTGGCTTCAACTCACCTTGATCTCCATTCAGCTGCTTGCTCTGCTTTGCCTCTTAATGAGGGGAGGCCTGTGCATGTCTACCGGGCATGCAGCCTGAATGCTAGTACCTGAGCTCCTACCTTTTAACACTGGGAGTTACTAAGCACAAGAGTCACATAAACGAAAGATCGTCACAAAATCCTTGGATGTAGAAACTCAGCACGTTCCAGTGGCTCTCAACCCACCAGGCCTGAGAACCTTCTAGAAAGAGTTGCTGTGGCAGAGAAACCAAGATCCTGGGCACGATGTGCTCCTGCGAGGTGTCCGGCAGGGATTCTCTGTCTCGCCGGGTGGAGGCTCAGGCCCCATCATTTACTCTTGATCCTTGAGAGCAAATGGGAGAAGGAGGAGGCGGTGGTCATGCTCAAGACTGGAGCTGGCCCCAGGAGGGCCACTTACCTGAGGCCAGAGCAAGTGCTGAGGCTGGCTGTGGAGCCAGAATATCCTTGCACGTGTCCGTGGTAGTAACAGTGACCCTGCAAGGAGGAGAAAGTCGGCTCAGTCACGTAGCTTCTCGCCCGCTCACCATAGGCCAACCGCCTCCGGCCCCCTTCTCCTCCTTTCAGCTACGGGATTCCCTTTCAGCATAAAATACTGAACCACAGGTCTTAATATTTAATGCTAAGCCCAGCGTGACCCGGCCAAGATCTCTGGCAGGAAGGTCTGATTTACTTAGAGATGGTCAGTGGGGTGTTAAGCTGCGTCCAGGCCCCACTCTTGTCTCTCTGACACCCTTCAGGGAAGCTCTGATGTGGGGTGTTTCACAAAACCCGGCAGCAGAAGAGAGCACATGGATATCACCACCTTACCCTCCTGCAAGCTGTCTTTTGTAACGAGATGAGGACCCGCATGGCCTATTTAAGCACACTGTGAAATGTAACAAAACATGGCCTAAATCTATGGCTTCTGGAACCAGAATAGCAGATGAGACGGCAGCTGGAGGGGACTGCCCTGAATTGCCCAGTTGAGAGCTGGCGGTCTCTCTCAGCAGGAAAAGGAAAATAGGAAGGTCTTCTCGGTCTACGACAGAAGTCCCCGTGTGACACCTGCAGAATTCCACTTCTTGGATAAGGTCACTGCTTGCAACAAGAAACCACAGCACAGACCCTTCCTTACTGAGACAGAGATCTGTCCAGAACCCACATAAACAGAGGTTATAGGGCGGCCCCCACTAAGTGGCTGACAGGCAAGAAATGCTAAGTGGGCTCCATTCACCTCTTTCATGGCCTGTGCACGCCAGCCGTGTGGCCCAGCAGGAGAGGCGGCGTGGAAGGAGCAGGGCGAGTGGGCGTTGG